TGCACGGCAGCTGGTTGGGCCGAAGGCAACTTCAGCCTTGCTCTTCTGCAGTCGGCGCACAGAAAGAAGGTTAGCGGACAAACCTTCAACCAACAGCACATTTCCAAGCCCCACAAGCTCCCCATTGGCTCCCATCACCTTAGCATTCCCAACACCAATCACAGGGAGCAAAGCACCTTAAGCGGCAGCCACAAACTTTATCTTCCTAGGGGGTTTTACCTCATCAAGCAAATCTTCCCATGGGGTCATGTGACTTACCTGAATCTATCACCCAGTGAGTGAGGGGGTGCATCACAACCTTCCCAACTGAACCCACATCACCCCCACTCCCTTGCACATCCTCAACCATGAGGAACATCCCAGGGTCGGATTACCATATGCACCTTCACCTTGTGCACTTGAACCTTGTGCAGCACCACCTCGTGCACGTTCACCACTTGGCGGCTTCATGCCTGGACGTGCCCATCCTTCAGGCCGGCTGAAACACTTGAACCATGGGTGTCTAGCCTTCTTGCAGTACCAGCAAGCTCCCTCCATTCTAGTGCTCCCCCTGCCACCAGAGCTCCCATGCCCCTCATTGTAGTCACCTCGGCCTCTCCCTCTGCCAAAGCCTCTCCCACGGCCTCGGCCTCTCCCACCCCCTCTTCCTCTGCTGCCTCCCGCAGCTCCATACCCCTCAGCAGTCTTGTTGACAGCACCACCTCCCGTGTGGTGCCTGCGGAAGTCCTCCTGCAGAATCTGCTGCCTTAGCCACTCAGGCGTCCACTGGTCCTGCTGAGTGTTGAGGGTGGGGATCAGGTTGTCCCATGGGTTGTCGAGCACCGAGATGATCTTGGTGCACTGCTGCATCTGCGACACATTGTTGCCCGCCGCTCCATCTGTTAGAGACTAAGGACGGAGTCTATGAAGATTAGGGGCCGAAATAACTCAAAATCGTCAACTACAATTCTGGACAGAAAAGTCGTCGTCACAAGAAACGTCCTCGACGAAAAACGCACCGTTAGAATTCTCTCAAACACAAGTATGTTGTAGCCCTTGACCGTGGCGATCTTTCACAATTTGAATCGTATCAAAATATGGCGTATAACTCGGGTTATGAATTTCGGCGCACTAGGGGGTATGCTGGAGCTGAAACTTAACTCAATCACAATATTTTCACAATTATCTCATAATCACCACACAAGGTGCTGGAGTAGCAATAAACCAGGTAGGAGGGAAGAGGAGGACGAGAGGGAAGGTCCCAAGGAGTCCCCAACCAAGGAAACCCCACAAGCACAAAAGATTCCCTCCCTATAGGAACCCAACTTTGACCCTTGTCATTTTCCCAACCTCCACAATCCACCTCACCCCAACTTGGCCACACTTGCCAACCTGGTTTGGCTTCTCCCAACCATTTGGCAGCATCTACAGTGATGTTGACGAATTTCCCAACCCCCAAAAGTCTATACCCCTTATAGAGTCAACCCCACAACTTCCCATAGTCACCACAACCAAATATCAAAAGCATACGAACTTCCAACGTTCGTAACTTTCTTGTTCGTGCTCCGATTGAAGCGATACTTGGTTCGTCGGAAAGCTCTTGAGCAGAGGAGTCACTTCAGATATCTGCTCAAGCCAAATAACATTCACACAAACTCAGAAAAACCAAACCACATCAAACACAAATTCTTGCACACGCTCACGCCACGCATGCAACGCACGAACATGTGATGGGAGGCAGACAGACGTGAATGCAAGTGATAGCATCACATAACAAACTCCCCCTCTGGCTGCCTACCATCATCCCACATGCCATAGCTCAATCATGCACCCTCAATGCACACTCATCCCAGCAAGCTTCATGCCCTTTCAATGCTCAGATTCAGCCAGGCGCTTGGTGAGAATGTCAGCCGCCTGCTGATGGGTCTTCACAATCTCCAGCCGCACCTCCTTGTCCAGGAGCCTCCTCACCCAGTGCCACTTGGGCCTGATGTGCTTCGTCAGCCCATGAAGGCAAGCATTCTTGGCTAACTTCACTGCCGACTCATTATCACAGAACATCGCAGTCGGCTCCTTCTGGCACACTCCGATCTCCTCCAACAAACGCCTCAGCCACACTACCTCCTTTGCCCCATGATGCAGGGCCATGTACTCTGTCTCACACGAGGACTGCCCCACCTCGTTCTGCTTCTTGCTGCGCCAGCTCACTGCACCACCTCCAAACAGGCACACATAGCCTCCAATGCTGGTGCCATCCGCCTTCACAGAGTTGAAGCTAGCGTCAGTGTAGCAGGTCAGGAGCATCTCCCCCTTGCTCAAATCAGTAGCACCCTGCTGCTGCCTTTGCCTCACAGCACTGTACTCCAAACCCACAGATGCTGTAGCGCTCACATAGCGGACCAACCTCTTGGCTGCTTCCAGCTGCTCATGACTGGGGCGGGAGACCACACTGGCAAGCCTGGATGTAGCAAAGGCAATGTCAGGCCGCGTGTGGTTAGCCGCAAAATTGAGTGCCCCAACCATGGAATGGAACAGCTTCCTGTCGCTCTCACCCACCACCTCCTCATCAGCACAGGGCTCCACAGTGAACCCCGAAGGCAGTGGGGTTGCTGGCTTTCCTCCATCTTGCAGCCCATACTTCTCAGCCAGCCCCTCAAAATACTTCCTCTGGTGCAACCTCAGCACTCCCTTGTCAAGGTCCCTCTCCACATGCATCCCAAGGTAATACTTCACATCTCCCATCTTCGAGCACTTGAACTGCATCTCCAGCATCTCCTCCACACGCTCAATCATCGCAGACGACTCGGAGAAGAGCAGGATGTCGTCCACATACACCAGGAGCATAAGGAACTGCTCCTTCTCTTGCAGCAGGAACAAGCTGTGGTCGCACTCACTCTTCTTGAACACCCCAGCCAGCAGTGTCTCCTCCAGCTTGTGGTACCAGGCGCGAGGAGCCTGCTTCAGGCCATAGATGGCCTTCTTTAGCCTGCACACCCTGCCGCTCCCATCATCCAATCCCTCAGGCTGTAACATGTACAGCTCCTCCAGAACTATCCCATTGAGGAAGGCGGTGGTAATGTCCATCTGCTTCACCCGCCATCCACGGTTTGCTGCCATTGCCAATGACACCCGCAATGTTGTGCCTTTCCCCACAGGAGCAAAAATCTCGTCAAAGTCCTTCCCCTTTGTCTGCTGAAACCCCTTAGCCACAAGCCTTGACTTGTAGCGGGTCAGCGCCCCATCAGGTCCGTACTTATGCCTGAAGATCAACTTGGAAGAAATGGCCTTCTTCCCAGGAGGCAGCTCACACAGCTCCCACGTCTCATTCTCCAGCAGAGAGACATACTCCTCCTTCACACTCTGCTTCCACTTTTCAGCATCGGGCCCGCTCAATGCCTCAGCTAGCGTCTTGGGCTCAGGGACGGCTGCCCAGTAGCAGTGTGCTATCTCTTCCTCATCACACTGGTCAGCCACACTCCTAGCCCTTACCACCTTTGGCTTGCCAAAGCTCGGATAGGTCAGCCGGTTAGGAGGGCGCACATCCCTCCTAGGACGGTCAGCCGGACGTGCGGCACCTTGTGGAGCACCTTGCTGCTGCTGCTGCGGCTGCTGCTGCTGCTGCTGCTACTGCTGCTGCTCCTCCACCTCAGGTTCTCCCCCATCTTCTATCACCCCAGAGATCTCCTCCTCTGAGACAGTGACCTGCACTTGCCTCGAAGGCCGCTGCACCTCATCGGCCTCAATGATCAGCGGTGTAGTAGGAAGCTTCTGCTGCTGCTGCTTCCACTCCTTGTAGTACAAGGACTCAAGGAACTTCACATCCCTTGACACAGTCAGCTGCTGGCTGGTCAAGTCCCATATCAACCAGCCCTTGTGATCCTTAGCAAGCCCCAAGTGCACACCCCATCTCCCAGAAGCTTCCAGCTTTCCCCTCTTCTCCTTAGGCACATGAAACACCATCATGCACCCAAAGGCTCTCAGCATGTTCACAGCTGGTGCACTCCCATACCACTTGGTGTAGGGGACCCACTGCTTGTCCCCCACAGTCGCCAGCACCCTGTTCTTCACAAGAGCGACCTGCCGCAGTGCAGTCACCCAAAACGGATCCGGCAGCCTTGCACGCCCAAGAAGGGTGCGAGCACCTTCCTGCAGGGTTCGGTTGAACCGCTCAGCCACGCCATTCTGCTGTGGGTTGTAGGGCACTGTGAGCTGATGCTGGATTCCCTTCTTCTTCAGCACCGCCTCAAATTCATTGCCAACGAACTCTCCTCCGTTATCGGTGCGGATCACCTTCACCTTGTGTCCGCGCTCCCTTTGAGCTCTCGGCATCCACTCCTTAAGAACAGCCGCTGCCACCTCCCCCTTGGTCTTGAGAGGGTACACCCACACCGCACGCGTGTGGTCGTCCACAATGGTCAATAAGTAGTGGCTGCCCGAGAGAGAAAGGGCCCTCGTAGGGCCCACCACATCCAAGTGGAGCCTTGGCTGGTCCCGTGCTGCTGCTGAAGGGGAACTTGGTGATTTTAGTCTCAAGGCATATAGGGCAGCTCCCAATCTCCTTTGCTACCCCCTTCACCTCCAACCCCTTCAAGCTCCCATCCTTCACTAACTTCTGCAGCATAGGAAAATTCACATGACACAGCCTCTCGTGCCACGTCTCCCAATCGGCCTCACCACTCCCAGATGAAGCCTTTGCCCATGCAGCGGTTGCATCCACACCAGCAAGCACCTCACCATGTGGCTGCTGTGGCTGCTGCACCTTCTTGACTGCATCCAGGGCCCCATCAGTTGGCGTAGTCTCCTTTCTTCCCGCAGTTGCCTTTGCCGTTGCTGCTACCGCTGCCATTGCTGGAGCCTCGCCAAACACCAGTGATCCATTAGTGGTCGGTGTGGACACACAAGCGCGAACAACGTGCCCATCATCGAATGCAGTTACAGATGGTTTAGGGCGTGCAGAGACTGGTGGAGCGGGGATGAATGCAAGCGCGCGTGCACATTCGCCTCCGATATGGAACGTGAACTCACTGTTGCCAGGGAACCCGGACGTCCACATCAGCACCCCCGCGCAACCAACTGCTGCGAACGCGACCGGTAGAGGTAGGCAACCCCAAGTGCACGCAGGGAACGCGGGTAGAGGGACTGTTGAGAGAGGGGATGCGGGGAGAGGGGCTGGTGCGAGCGGGAACGCGGGGAGAGGGTCCGGTGCGAGAGGGAACGCGGGAAGAGGGAACGCGGGGAGAGGGACCGGTGCGAGAGGAAACGGTGGGAGAGGGAACGCGGGGAGAGGGACCGGTGCGAGAGGAAACGGTGGGAGAGGGAATGCGGGGAGAGGGACCGGTGCGAGAGGGAACGCGGGGAGAGGGGCTGGTGGTAGTGCGCACGGGGGGAGACCGCATGGGGGAACAGGAAACGGCGGGAGAGGGAATGTAGGTAACGCGAACGGAGGTACTGCGAACCAGCCAGTTCATAGGCCGCGTATAAAGAGGCGGAGATTCGATCTAGTGCCGGACACCGCCCGCAACGGGACCGGGGAGGGGGGCGAGGGGGCGAGCGATGAGGATGACGACGACGATGATGATGACGATGATAGTGGCGACGGGTGGAATGACGATGACGAAAACTACCTAGCTAACTCGTTGTACGCGCTCGATGAGGAAGAGGCGGACGACAACGAACGGGTGCGGGGAACGCGAACGGACAACGAGGTCCCGATCGCGGATTGGAACAGGCTTGGTGTGGACAACACCCCTGACGCGAAAAGAGAGATGTGCATGGGAATCCTCTACGGTCTCTCGGAGGCCACCCTGAAAAAGTACCACGGTTGGGCCAACGAGTACAAGAGGTTCATGGCGCACGAGTTGCCGAAACTTGATGAGGGGAGGTTCGGGGAGGAGGCCGCGTTGAAGAACAAGAACCCCGACGAGATTGGGGCCGCGCTTGGACAGAACATGGGTGGGAGCTGGAAGAGGGCAAAGGGCGACGAGCAGTGGTTCCACGTCCCCGAGACCAATCCGTGGCGCCTACGCAAATACGTGACGTTCCTCGCGAACGAGACGGTCACGTAGACGGACAGGATGGCGACACTCAAAAGGCCGGACAAGACCTTGTAGAAGAGACGCCAGTGCACCCCTGCAATGCTGATGGGCCATCTCAAGGCGTTGAATCTCCTCATCAAGCTCGATGCGGCCATCTTCCGGAAACCCGTGCTGAACCTGCTGCGCGACTTTGCGGAGACTCGCATTTGGGCCCGCGTTCAAGTCTGTGACCAGTACAAGCGTTTCATAGCGTGAGTATGAGTAACGCGACACAATAATATGAGTTGTACCGCATGCGTGTCCATCACAACCGCGTCAACTAACACGTGTACTATCGTGATACTGGTTGCGCAGGGAACACATGGATCGCCATCGGGGCACGGCCGCGGACACGTACATCCCGGACCAGTTCAAGCACATTTTGCGGAAGACCAGCATGGCCGCCATCTTGAGCAGCTTCACACTTGCCAAACACGCGTACACGCAGGCCATGCACCGCGACCTCTGCATCAGGACGATGACCGTGCTCGGTCATCACACTCTAGCTCGCGGGTGCACGATCAGAAAACTGCAGCTGCCAGACATGATGATGTGGAAACTCGGCGCGAAATCGGATACTGATCCAGTGAGGGACGCGTTCATGTTTGTCTGCGCGTGCAGAACGGGCAAGACAAACAATGACTTCTCGCTCAACTACATCTCTGCAGTGCGGCACATCGACTGGACGCGATTCGCGGTCGGGGCTACGCTAATGTGGCTGCAATGTGTTTACGACTTGGTTCCCGTCCCCATTTCCTAACGCGATTCCTCCTGAAATCTCGCCACCGGTCCCAGCCTCGCCAAACACCAGTGATCCATTAGTGGTCGGTCTGGACATACAAGCGCGAACAACGTGCCCATCATCGAACGCGGTTACAGATGGTTTAGGGCGTGCAGAGACTGGTGGAGTGGGGATGAATGGAAGCGCGCGTGCACATTCGCCTCCGATATGGAACGTGAACTCACTGTTGCCAGGGAACCCGGACGTCCACATCAGCACCCCCGCGCAACCAACTGCTGCGAACGCGACCGGTAGAGGTAGGCAACCCCAGGTGCACGCAGGGAACGCGGGTAGAGGGACTGTTGAGAGAGGGGATGCGGGGAGAGGGGCTGGTGCGAGCGGGAACGCGGGGAGAGGGTCCGGTGCGAGAGGGAACGCGGGAAGAGGGAACGCGGGGAGAGGGACCGGTGCGAGAGGAAACGGTGGGAGAGGGAACGCGGGGAGAGGGACCGGTGCGAGAGGGAACGCGGGGAGAGGGGCTGGTGGTAGTGCGCACGGGGGGAGACCGCATGGGGGAACAGGAAACGGCGGGAGAGGGAATGTAGGTAACGCGAACGGAGGTACCGCAAACCAGCCAGTTCATAGGCCGCGTATAAAGAGGCGGAGAGTCGATCTAGTGCCGGACACCGCCCGCAACGGGACCGGGGAGGGGGGCGAGGGGGCGAGCGATGAGGATGACGACGACGATGATGATGACGATGATAGTGGCGACGGGTGGAATGACGATGACGAAAACTACCTAGCTAACTCGTTGTACGCGCTCGATGAGGAAGAGGCGGACGACAACGAACGGGTGCGGGGAACGCGAACGGACAACGAGGTCCCGATCGCGGATTGGAACAGGATTGATGTGGACGACACCCCTGACGCGAAAAGAGAGATGTGCATGGGAATCCTCTACGGTCTCTCGGAGGCCACCCTGAAAAAGTACCGCGGTTGGGCCAATGAGTACAAGAGGTTCATGGCGCACGAGTTGCCGAAACTTGATGAGGGGAGGTTCGGGGAGGAGGCCGCGTTGAAGAACAAGAACCCCGACGAGATTGGGGCCGCGCTTGGACAGAACATGGGTGGGAGCTGGAAGAGGGAAAAGGGCGACGAGCAGTGGTTCCACGGCCCCGAGACCAATCCGTGGCGCCTACGCAAATACGTGACGTTCCTCGCGAACGAGACGGTCGCGTAGGCGGACAGGATGGCGACACTCAAAAGGCCGGACAAGACCTTGAAGAAGAGACGCCAGTGCACCCCTGCAATGCTGATGGGCCGTCTCAAGGCGTTGAACCTCCTCATCAAGCTCGATGGAGACATCTTCCGGAAACCAGTGTTGAACCTGCTGCGCGACTTTGCGGAGACTCTTATTTGGGTCTGCGTTCAAGTCCGCGACCAGTACAAGCGTATCATAGCGTGAGTATGAGTAACGCGACACAATAATATGAGTTGTACCGCATGCGTGTCCATCACAACCGCGTCAACTAACACGTGTACTATCGTGATACTGGTTGCACAGGGAACACATGGATCGCCATCAGGGCACGGCCGCGGACACGTACACCCCGGACCAGTTCAAGAAGAAGAGTGTGGATTTGAACCTGAGCCAGCTCAAGAAGGGGTCCTCGGCGGAGGTGCAGTTGCGCGTGAAATGGATGCTTGTTCGCGACCATCTCATTGATGCCTCTCTTCCCGCGTCTGAGTTCACGGTCGCGTGGCCATAGTACTGTGCAATGATGCCTGACTTGCAATAAATGGTGGATTGGATCCTTTGATGTTCGCATTGGGTGTACAGCCTATGGGTGCCATATTATGAGTACGTTGTGTCGTTCGCGTTAGTTGTTGTTTTGCATAACCGTTTACTTGATTCTTCCAAATGTTACAATTGCGTAAAATGATGATGATTTGGTATCATTTGTTTTACCACCGCGTTCGATATGTACGTGATGATTGTCTCGCCAGTCCGATGGGAGATATGTAGTTAGGTGTATCGCGATTGAACAGCTCGCGGAAACAATGAGTAGAGTAAGTGAGTTTCGACCGCGACAGGAGCAGGTTGCTGACCGCGGAACGAGAGCTTCGATACAAAAGTAGTTGAAAGGAGAGCATTACGACAATAGCATCCGTGTTGTCAACGCGGATGAAGCATGGTTAAGGAAATGGACTAAACAGCATAGACAGAATATCCACCGCGAGTAAAAACTCAAGCAGGGTGGACATACTACCCACACTAACAAGGGTCTCATGCAACTACACGAACAAGAGTCTAGAGCACCACATGTTTCCCACCGCGAGTAAAACTCCAGCAGGTGGGACAAACTAACTACACATTCACGCGGACCTCTTCTTCGCGGACAGTCGCTTCTCAGGCAGAGCGAGGTAGAGCTCGTTGACCTCCATCATCTTGGCCGCGACCTTGCAGTCGCTCTAGGTCATCAGCACGTCTACTGCCTCGTGCGCGACCATAGCAACCAGAGTGGGGTCCCCAAGGCGCGCTCCAAGGCGGTTCACGACCGCGGACTCGATAGCCTCCGCGACCTGCTTCGGCGTTACCTCGGTGGTGTGCGCGCGTGCATTCTCCTTCCTGGCCCTCTTGAAGACCGCGGTCACAATAGCGACGAAATCGCGGGCCTTCTCTTCGGGGGCGCCTGCAGACTGCGCCGCCACGTATCCAGCATTCACGATTCCGTCCAGATCAAGACCGTTGCAGGTCTCCCACACCATCGCGATCGCGCACGCGACCGCACCGGCAAACAGACCCTCCTGTGCCCCGGCGACATCAGGCTCTTCGTCTGCCGCCTCCTTCCCCACCACAGCTGCCCATGCGACCGCGTTGCCGAGACTGGTTGTGGGGCGGGTGAGGTCGCGGTATGCCTTGGTTAATGCATGACATGGTTAGCCGCGTATTTGATCGCGTACAAAGCATGTTTAACAACAGATCATGATCATAAGCGTACCTGTCAACGTTGCCGCAAAGGTTTCGGAGATGCATGGTCGCGAAAAGCCCGGTGCTCATCTCATCGGCCGCGGAGATGTCCTCGGCCCAATTCCTTAACTGCTGCGCTGTCAGCTTGAGACTAGGGTCCACCCTCTTGTCGTAACACATCACTGCGATCGCGGTCAAGTACTGCACCTCTTGGAGTGAGTGATGACCCAGCCAGCGACGTCTCCCCCCAAGCCACAGTTTGCCGACCATCCCCTCTCCACCCCTAGGCGGAGGGCGGATACCACAGCCCTTCCTCTTGCCGCTAGTTCCGCCGGTCTCGCAGTGCACACCGAACCTTTGCAGCACCAGCTCAACATCATCGTCCGCGTCCGAGTCGTCGTCGTCGTCGTCCAGTTTGAGCGCGGCTGGAGGAGGCTTACAATCACCGCGACCCTGACTCTTCGCCTTGAGTGCCACATCTGCAGCAGGGGGGTTTGCAGGGGAGGTGGAGCTGGGTCCAGGCTGTCCAGTAGCGATCGCGGCGGGGGTACTTGCCGCGGGCACGAGCGCGGTGGTGGTGGTCGCGGTGGTGGTGTTTGCCAGCGGGGCTTCCTCGACCTTGGCCTTGCCCTTACCAGCTACCACTGCCGCGGGAGCAGAAGGTGGTCTCGCAGCAGCATCCCCCCTGGTGGTTCCCCTCTGGACCGTCCCTGAACGCAGATCGACCGCGCCCCCCTTGCTCTTCAAGATCTCCGCGACACTGGGAACCGCGGGACCTTTCTGCCTCTTTCCTCCCCTGCTGCTTTCAGCCTTCCCCGTCCCCTTCTCTGCGGCTCTCTTCCCTGTCTCCTTGTCCGCTACCCTCTTCCCCGTCTCCACTTCCGCGACACAGTCCGACACCTTCTCCTCCGGCCCATCCGTCCCCTGGCGCCGACCGGAAAGCATGGCGATGACGGTGTTGAGAGTGTTGGTCATGCCGCTTGTTGTGATCGCGCGTTCAGAGGTGGCCGCAATGTTGGACGACGCGCCGTCTATCTTTCGCGTGACCTCGTCCGTCAACTTCTTCTGTGCGGATTCCATGGAGTCTACGACAACTGCCTTCAGGTTAGCCACGCCATCTTCCAAGCGAGCCGCAGTACGTTTCAGCACGTCCCGCAGGTCGCGATTCTCGGCCATGTCCTTCGCGGCCGCCTTGGCTTCCTTGAGTATCACCCGTTCCGCGTTCTGCACATGAAGCATCACCTTCTCCACAGTGCCCACGAGATCATCGTAACGCTGCGTGATCACCGTCGCTGCTTCCTCACCAGGCTTCGCGGACACGACTTCCTCAAGCTTGGCGAGTCGGCGCTTCTGTGTCCGCACATGCTCGTCCAGGCGGAGAATTTCCGCGGCCAGCTTACCGGGATCAAACTTCACCAGCTCGTCGTATTTCCGTTTCCCCGCGACCGGGCTCTTGCCCGCACCCTCGCACGAAGGGGCCGCGCTTCCAGGACGAGGGGACAACGCAGCAGTGAGACGGCGAATACTCTTCCCTGCTCCAGCGACCCTGACCGCGGCCCCATGCCCAGCCCTAGTGTTCTCCGCGACCTCCTCCACCTCCTCTTCCTCCTCGTCCTCTTTCTCCTCCACGTCGTCCGACCCCTTCAGCTCCAATTCACCGCCCTGGTTATCCATCGCGGCATCATCACGCTCCTCGGCAGACCCCTCATCTGCTGCGCGACCCTGACCATCGGCACCCTCCGACGCATTCACGTCACGTCCATCATGAGGCGCGGTCTCAGGAGCATCCTCGTTGCGGTCAGAGCTCGAGCCCTCGTCCTTGTTGTTCGGAGCCCCCTGATCCGCTGCGACCTCCTCCACGACTCCGGCGTTCGCGAGCGCGTAAGCAGTTGTGATCGCGAGGGCTTTGGGAACAGAAACGTGCGATCCGGCGGCATGATTGTGCGACCTCCCGAGTTCATTACCATGCGCCTCCCCACCATGACCGTCCGCAAAACCGCATCTAGACTTGAACGCGAGCTCCTCCGCGGCGCGTTTCACATCCTGCCACAATGTAGTCAACGTCCTTTGGATGGGCTTCGCGATGCGCGGCGCAGGGTCATGTACAAGAACCGCGTCGAGTTCGTTGAGGATTCTGTCAAACGCGTAGCCACATGCGATTGGCCCGCAAGAGGTCTTCCAAGACGAGATATCCTGAAAGGAAGCCGCGGAAAGGGAGTGTATGGTTAAAGAAAATTTGTGCTGCCGTTTTAAATACCGCGACAAAACATACGCGAACAGGGCATTGGCTCACCAGGTCAACGAGACGTGTCGGATCTCCTAGCTGCCCCGACCGGACACACTGGACGGAATCGCTCTCGAAAGCCTGGTAAACGTGACCCTGAAACCACCTGAATACATAGATGGATAGCATCGCAGTTAAAATAAGGACATATATATAAGAGCAACTAGACAAAAAAAAAACCCTCCGGCGAAAAACAACTTACGCGACAATCTTGTCGACCGCGGAAAGTTGTTCAAGCGCAGCAGTGGGGTGACAGACGCGGACAAAACGCGTTTTCCAGCTTGCACTCGCGTCAAGCCCGAGGTGGTCCGGGCGCAAAAGCAGAAGCATGCACGCGTTTGAAGCCTTCTTGTCACTCAACTCCCTGCCATTATCATATTACACACGGAAAACGGCGTGAGCCCATGAAGCCTGCATGAAGGATATAACCGACTAACCAGATGCATAATGCGACCAGATTAGAAACGCGACTAGCCCGCAGGTTAGCACTGTGTACTCACTCGGACCAGAGGCAGAACGCGACCAGTTTGCTTTCAAGCATTCCGTCAAACGCCACGTGCGCGGCCTCTGCACCCGCGACGATGTCCGCGACAACATTGGATGGAACCACTTGGATCGACCCCTGCAGCGGCTGAGACACGCACTTCCTGATAACCACGCTGTACGGGGGATTAAAGAACACATTGCCATATACTTAACGCGTATATGTTTCGTCGTCGCGAACGATAAAGGTAGGTTCACAGCATCTACTTAGAACGCGGAGTGCAGCTAAACAACGTATGAATCAAGCAACCAAGATACGCGAACGATTTACCAGGGTTTAGAACCACACAAAACAAAACGCGACAAAACACATAATAAAGTATTGAACAAGCCGTCCGTCCTAAATTGAAACAGGACATTCTCACCAGGCGAGGAAGTCAAAGCAGGTCGCGGTGAAGGGATGCTTATCATCGGCGAAGCACTTCCTCTGATCGGGGGGGAGCTCCACAGTTGCGCGAGCAATCGAGATCGTCGCGGTGTAAGAAGCGCCCTGGTCTCCACTGTTCAACAGCGCCTTCAATTCGCGAGCCATGGCCGGGGCAGAATGCGTGCACTAACCAGCTGCGCGGACGGGCCGGGCCTACACTAGCACGAGAACAGCAAGGGTTCACACTACAAGTGCTAACGCGAATGCGAACCACACACACACTAGAGACAGAGCTTGTTCGCAGCGAGGACTAGGCGGAGAGGTCAAAGAGGGAAGACAAAAAAGGAGAACCAAAGCATGAAGATGAAAATGAGCACGTGAAACCCTGGACGAGGGCCTAAAAGGGGACAAAACGCATCAAGGGGCAGGCAGCGCGAGCAACAGGTGAGGGGCCGCACCGCTCGTGCTGGGGGGAGGGGGGGGGGGGGGGCGCGCGCCACTTCGGACTTGCCAAGGGGGGGACGTTCCTCGACATGCATGCGAGTGGAACCGCGTCGCGCCAGGTAGCATTCCAGCCGCGAACTGCATGCAGGGGGTGATGGTTACCACATCGGGCGGGGTGTATTCCTCGTCGCGTCCGCCAAAAACCAGGGTAACGGACGATAACAACTTCCTGTTTCATGCCAGATTACTACACTCAATAATGTGCCTACACTAAACGCGGTCAAAGTTAAACGCGTTCATAAAATCGGCGGCCATTCAGTTAGCGCAATCATAACGAATAGTACATATTAATAAAAAAAAAAAGAACCACAACAAAATACCAAACATGTAGTTCGCTTTTTTCCTACCAAACAATGAGATTGCCTATTTGTACGTGTAATCGCGTTTATGATTTACAATATCAAAATATTTCATATTGATGTTTTATTATGACCATTCGCGTTTAACGACCATTCGGTACACTGCGGAAACGTTTTTTCCCGAGAGATGATGCACAACAATTTCCTATTTGCTGATACATTTTGGGTGAGCTCAGGCGACCCTTCGCACGCGCGAAGGATATTTCGCGGGGGTCTTTCAAACCACACCACCAATCGGAAGCGATGCCGATTGGCCGGATTCGTTTCGGCGCGCCCTGGCGACGCTTCGCACGCGCGGATAGGGTGGCGAAGTGTTTCGCAAGAGGCCTCTGAAGCACCCCGCAATCGGAGACGGCTCCCATTGGCCGGATTTTTTTCGGCGCGCACGGTGCTCGCTCCATTGGTGAGCGAGGGGTTTCGCGAGGGGTTTCGCGAGCCAGGGCTGGGACCGGGGGGGCCCAGGGTGTGGTCCCGGGCTGAGTGGCGCTGGCGTGGCCCGGGCTCGGCGCGGGACCACCCCGCCAGCTGACTCCGCCGCCCGTATCTCGCTAGGGACCTGCATGCGGGCGGGGCACTCCCGCTCGCGTGCAGCTCGCAGCTGGCCCAGCTGGGGGTCGCGACACACGGTGCATCCGCGTGCGGCCCTGGTGGGAACCCGAATTCACCAGGGGGGCACCTGGTGGAATTGGTTTCACCAGGGCCCGAATGGACTGGTATGTTCATACGGCGCGGCTCGGGGAAAACCCCGCCCACGCCTGGGGATGTACGGGGCGCGGAGCTACCGGGGGACGCGTGGGGCGAAGTCGGCCCTCCAGAATCCCACTAGTTTTGGACCTTGCGCGGCCTTGCGTGGCAGAGTGAAACCCACCAGATTCCCATCGAAAACTCCGCGAGCCACCAAAAACCGAAAGAACCCACATGGTTCTTACGCGCCAAAGCATGCGCGACTCGGTGGAAAACGGACGCGATTGGTTGTTCAACACTGACAGGTGGATAATTGCGCGCATGCAACTGCGCGTTCGCGAAAAAAAAGAGCGAGAGGATTGGTTGCGACTTCACGAAACATATATCGACCTGTGTTCGCACAAAGATAGGTTTGGTAAGCGCGGTGCGAGAACAGGTTTGGAAACACTTGGCGCGATTAGACATGCTCCATGCTGGCTGGCACGTGCAGCACTTTGAACGACCTACACACGTGTCGTTGTTCGGTCAAGACTCGAACGCGGAGACGTGGGAAGCACGTCTAAGCCGTGACCGGTCATTACACACAGCCTGTCCACATTTACGCTTTGCGCTCGCTAGTTGCACATCAAGCACCTCTCTCTCTTGTCCCATCAAATCTAGTGGACTTAGACGAAAAGCGAGTGTCGCGTGTCGCGGTTACAATATGGGCCGCGCTTGATGGACCGGGAACGCCCTGGTCGCGATGGTCATCACGAACCGATAATCCACGCGGGCGTGTGTTTCCACAGTCAGAGATAGACGTCCCATAGTCAGAATTGCGTAGAGACATTGCAACATGTTGATGCACGCGTTACGTAGGAGTAGGGGTAATCTCGTACGATGCATGCATACCGTGAATCGCGTCGCGGCGCCAATTCTGCACGACTCCCATAATGCCACAAGCAACACAGCCGCGCCCCAAATCCACACTGCGGAACCAGCTAGCGATGCTGTGCAAAACATGCCCGCGCTCAATCCCACATGGAGCACCCCATACGTGCAGCCTGTAATTTTTGGGGCCCAAATGCTCGCGTTCCACCCGCAGCAACTGATCAACGGGATTCACCTTGCACCGCGGTCACAGATTCCTCTAGCATCAGCGTCGTTCGCGTTTCAGACCCAACAGGATGATAAGAACACGCATGGAGTATTCACGCCTCATCCCGGAACACAGACTCATGGACAACACACCGCGTCCGCGAACGGTCACACAAGCCAGCTATTTGGGATGCCTGTTCATGGTTATGTGGGGCTGCAATACGCGAATTTCGGGTTTAGGTACGGGTACAGTGGCGTTCAACCAGACCCCGTGGTGCACGCACCCGCAACTGTCGCGACGCCTCCTGTCGCGCCAGCGACCCCATTTCCTAACGCGATTCCTCCTGAAATCTCGCCACCGGTCCCAGCCTCGCCAAACACCAGTGATCCATTAGTGGTCGGTGTGGACACACAAGCACGAACAACGTGCCCATCATCGAACGCGGTTACAGATGGTTTAGGGCGTGCAGAGACTGGTGGAGCGGGGGTGAATGGAAGCGCGCGTGCACATTCGCCTCCGATATGGAACGTGAACTCACTGTTGCCAGGGAACCCGGACGTCCACATCAGCACCCCCGCGCAACCAACTGCTGCGAACGCGATCGGTAGAGGTAGGCAACCCCAGGTGCACGCAGGGAACGCGGGTAGAGGGACTGTTGAGAGAGGGGATGCGGGGAGAGGGGCTGGTGCGAGCGGGAACGCGGGGAGAGGGTCCGGTGCGAGAGGGAACGCGGGAAGAGGGAACGCGGGGAGAGGGACCGGTGCGAGAGGAAACGGTGGGAGCGGGAACGCGGGGAGATGGACCGGTGCGAGAGGAAACGGTGGGAGAGGGAATGCGGGGAGAGGGACCGGTGCGAGAGGGAACGCGGGGAGAGGGGCTGGTGGTAGTGCGCACGGGGGGAGACCGCATGGGGGAACAGGAAACGGCGGGAGAGGGAATGTAGGTAACGCGAACGGAGGTACCGCGAACCAGCCAGTTCATAGGCCGCGTATAAAGAGGTGGAGATTCGATCTAGTGCCGGACACCGCCCGCAACGGGACCGGGGAGGGGGGCGAGGGGGCGAGCGATGAGGATGACGACGACGATGATGATGACGATGATAGTGGCGACGGGTGGAATGACGATGACGAAAACTACCTAGCTAACTCGTTGTACGCGCTCGATGAGGAAGAGGCGGACGACAACGAACGGGTGCGGGGAACGCGAACGGACAACGAGGTCCCGATCGCGGATTGGAACAGGCTTGGTGTGGACGACACCCCTGACGCGAAAAGAGAGATGTGCATGGGAATCCTCTACGGTCTCTCGGAGGCCACCCTGAAAAAGTACCGCGGTTGGGCCAATGAGTACAAGAGGTTCATGGCGCACGAGTTGCCGAAACTTGATGAGGGGAGGTTCGGGGAGGAGGCCGCGTTGAAGAACAAGAACCCCGACGAGATTGGGGCCGCGCTTGGACAGAACATGGGTGGGAGCTGGAAGAGGGCAAAGGGCGACGAGCAGTGGTTCCACGGCCCCGAGACCAATCCGTGGCGCCTACGCAAATACGTGACGTTCCTCGCGAACGAGACGGTCGCGCAGGCGGACAGGATGGCGACACTCAAAAGGCCGGACAAGACCTTGAAGAAGAGACGCCAGTGCACCCCTGCAATGCTGATGGGCCATCTCAAGGCGTTGAATCTCCTCATCAAGCTCGATGGGGCCATCTTCCGGAAACCCGTGCTGAACCTGCTGCGCGACTTTGCGGAGACTCGCATTTGGGTCCGCGTTCAAGTCTGTGACCAGTACAAGCGTTTCATAGCGTGAGTATGAGTAACGCGACACAATAATAGGAGTTGTACCGCATGCGTGTCCATCACAACCGCGTCAACTAACACGTGTACTATCGTGATACCGGTTGCGCAGGGAACACATGGATCGCCATCGGGGCACGGCCGCGGACACGTACACCCCGGACCAGTTCAAGCACATTTTGCGGAAGACCAGCATGGCCGCCATCTTGAGCAGCTTCACACTTGCCAAACACGCGTACACGCAGGCCATGCACCGCGACCTCTGCATCAGGACGATGACCGTGCTCGGTCATCACACTCTAGCTCGCGGGTGCACGATCAGAAAACTGCAGCTGCCAGACATGATGATGTGGAAACTCGGCGCGAAATCGGATACTGATCCAGTGAGGGACGCGTTCATGTTTGTCTACGCGTGCAGAACGGGCAAGACAAACAAGGACTTCTCACTCAACTACATCTCTGCAGTGCGGCACATCGACTGGACGCTGTGCGCGGTCGGGGCTACGCTAATGTGGCTGCAATGTGTTTACGACTTGGTTCCCGTCCTCTACGAGGACATAGCCCCCCCTCTCGACTTCTCTGAACCCTCGACGTGGTACGACCAGTACCTATTCTTTCCCCTTCGCGCAGGTAACGAGAAGCAGATACCGCCCACGACTCATCACGACTGGGTGGTAAAGATCCTGGAAGACGCGGGAATCACATGCTCGCGAGTGGTCCACGCGACCAGGGCGGGTGGAGCGCAGCACG